TGCAGTGCAATGGACATACAGTATAATGCACAATGTCTCAGGAAAGACTGTCTGGGTTGGCAATTCTCAGTATAGAAAACAGCCGGGCACGCAACCTGGACCCACAGGCCATGGTAAAAAAACTAAATCACACAAAAGGACTTCAGAAGCCTAGGGGAGTCCCTCAAGTTGGATTTAATTTGATCTAATTTAATTTACTATTTATTATTGCAGCCCATTTGTGTAGGCCATTAGCCAAACAAAACCCACTGAGTTCAACAATAAATAGTGGCTGAATCTATCCTCAAGCCAACGTGTATTTGATGTGTAATTCTTATTTTAAAAAGTTTATAAATAGCAGCTAAATAAGTTTCTTCAGAAAGTATTCACACGCCTTGACTTTTTCCATATTTTGTTGTGTTACAGGCTGAATTTAAAACTGATTAAATTGAGATTTTTTGTCACTGGCCTACACACAATACCCCATAATGTCAAAGTGGAATTATGTTTTTCGAAGATTTTACAAATTAATTAAAAATTAAAAGCTGAAATGTCTATAGTCAATAAGTATTCAACCCCTTTGTTATGGCAAGCCTAAATAAATTCAGGAGTAAATATTTCCTTACAAGTCACATAATAAGTTGCATGGGCTCACTATGTGCAATAAAAGTGTTTAACATGATTTGTGAATGACTGCCTCATCTCTGTACCCGACACATACAATTACAGTGGCTTGCGAAAGTATTCACCCCCCTTGGCATTTTTCCCATTTCTAAAAACAATTTAATCCATTTTGAATTCAGGCTGTAACACAACAAAATGTGGGATAAGTCAAAGGCTAGTGTTTTGAGGGTGGACTGACTGTGTTATTTGGCATTAATAGACTGGTTTTACGCACAACAACTTTCTATCCAAGCTGGGAGAGAGCTCGAGGATGGCTCATGTCATGTAGGTTGAGGTAGCCTTTACAGGACAGTTGTATATTCAAAAAAATCTACTGGTAACTCATTAGTATGCTGTTGCATCGAAAATGTATTTTACTATCTGCAATGTTTTAATTTCAAACTTTAATTACTGAACAAGTAATTACATTATTGCCACCAGCCAGAAATCTAAAAATGGCAGCATTGCGACACCGTGTAGAGCTTTGTGAAATGTAAGGCTTAACATGAGAAAATGATGACCAAATAGGCCTAACGATAAACATTTATCCATTAGCTAAAGCAAAGCTAGATATGCCCTAGCACCACAGAAAGCCTATCATCGATTCGATAGGCATTCAGCCACATAGACATGTTGCAATTTCAGCACCATGGACAGCAATCGGTATTCTATACTTTGTGAGTGGCTGTCTGGCTGACACATTAGCTTATTTATTTTTCATTGGGGGTGGGGGCAACTCCGACCTTGTGGGGGTCCAGAGAAACTGCAGTATGCCGGTGACACACACACACACCCTCTGTGTTAATTACAGTAGACAGCAAGTCATGGCATACTTATGGCATATCGTATTAGTGACATTTCTAGTGAGATGTAGCGACCATTTGCCTTTGAGAAATTGCAGCTTCATTACTGATGAATAGCCAATTATTGGTCCCATATGGCCCCTGTTCACCTCTATTAGGCACAGAGAATCTCAGATCCATTGTGGAATCTCAATGTTGTGTGTCATTGTCATGCATGGGTTGGCACTACAGTATGAACCTCTATATCATGGGTAATAAGTCATAATTCTTGATTTCTGCTGGCTTTCACTGGGTTTCAGCATTTGTTTGATTGTTTTGTGGACTCCCCAGTAACTGATTTACTCCTCTGTTAGTCCTCAGAAAGTGATTCACCATAGACACCAGGTGTTGTGTGATCTGTCCAAATCATGTGTTCTTAAAATATTTAGTTCTCACGCAAAGGTTTATCTCTGCAGCTCCCATGAACCAGGGCTCCCAGCCCCCTTTTACACTGGTTTGAAATGTTACAACCATCTCCCCTGAGTGCCACAGAAAGTACATTGTCAAATGTCAGGACTGTACCTTATCTTTCGTTGAAATGGAGTGAAAAAGGTCAATGCCTCTAAAGAAAATAAAAAAGCGGCCCAGATCTTTTGGGTGGCTGGTTGTGTGTTGGCACCTGTGTTCCTGACAAATCCAATGTTCAGTACTGCAGCCAGGAGGAGGGCACTAGCAGAAACATGGCATGGCAACTAAAACAGTGCCATACTAGCAAAGCTCCTCCTGTTGCTGCCTGCCTTTACCACCAACCCCCTGGAACAACTGTCAGTCAACACAACAGCGGTAGAAACAATAAGCTAAGAGATCAGGAACTGGCTCATGACATGCTTCACATAATGTGCTTTTCAGGGAGAGATGGGAGAGATTAAACTGATATTTTTCTGCTTTTCAGAAAACACACAAACTCAACCTTCCATACAATATCCCAGCTTCTATTAGACCTATAGCTACATAAACACATGCATGCACACACTAGTTCTGATGCTATTTGTCATATTGACTATGCTCTCAGTCATTGATAATGGAGGAGGGGAATGGAAATACAGAAAACAATTATATCCTGGCATGGCTCCAGCAGCCGTCACCTGATGAGACAGTATCTCCAGCCTTTATTATTATCCATAGGCAGCTTTTCTCCATCTCCCCCTGATATATTCATGACACAGAGATGAGGTATTGGAGCATGCAGTGTATGGCAGTCACAAACTGACTCCACGCCGACTGAACTTAAAGAGCGCTCATCAGTTTTACATTACTTTTGTTTAAAGCCACCGAATACACCTGCCCAGCTGGAAATAACCAAGACTATTTGCATTTGTATTTGATTTTAATATATTCTTCAGCGGTAATGATTTCCAATTATAGAGTATATCCAGACTCAAACTTCTGTTCTCATTGCTGCTCCTCTCAACAAGCAACGCAAGCAACGAACAAAGTGGATTCTGTTGAGTAGTGTGGCTTTAAATAGATCAAAGGAGGAATCTGGGTCTTGTCTTATGCAATTAAGAAGAAGCATTAAAGAGAACAAACCCCTGTGGACTGTTGTTGTTTTAACTGATGCCCTATTGCTTCCACTGCTATATCAGGATGAACATGTTGTTACACACCAACCAGGCTCAGAGATACACTTTATGTCTCTCCTCAACTTCTGCCAAAGGTTGTTGACGTTTTCTCAACCACTAGCCTTGAGTCATGAAAACCCCTCTAAAACCACATTATTTACTGAAATATCTGATGAGAAAGAGAGAATCGGGAAGCCAAAGTTTGTAATTTCTTTCCTCCCCCTCAATTAATTAAACTTCAATTACCATTGTTGAATTACTGTATTACAATTATTTCCGCCAATTAAACCTCTAGGCTGTCTCTAACGTCGCTTCCCGGCTTTGCTGCTATTATTTGCAGTCACTTCTCAGTCAATCTAGACACTTCAGATATCTGACAGACGTTATGTACAATCCACATTCTGAAAAACACAATGCTATGATGCATAAAGACAGTGGCTGGGTGAAGAATATCACAAATCCTAATACCCTTACTTATAATGGTAACATTTGGAAGCCTCTTAAGCATTCTTTGCATGTCTTATTGAAAATGTGAACTGAATTATCTTGCTAATGAGATAAGGTGGTGGAATGAGTGATTGATTGAGTGAGTGAGTGAGTCTGTAGGAGAGTAGTGTGTGGTCTCCTTTCATCCTGGGGTCAGGAGAGGTGGTGTTAGATAATCTTATCAGGTTTTAATACGATGGCTGAATTATAGCATGAAAGTGATACCGACTCATCTCCAACCTGAATTTAAGCTCTTTTAAATGTTAATCTGGGTTTGACTCTGAATATGGGTTTTACTTGAAATCTCATATCTTTGAAGACAAATCAACATTTCTATCTAGTTGGGAAAAAGTCAGTTGGCTATATTTGACTAATCTTTAGATATTGCACAAGGAAAGATTATAGCATGAATATTACTCAACCCAGTCTCATGAGCTATATGTTCTATAGTATTACTTTCATCAGCAGGTGATATCCGCTGCTGCTCTGCAATTACATTCTCTAGTCATAATTTTTTTTTATAACTTAATGACATATACATTTCTCAACAAACTTCTCCAAGTGGGAAAATGTTCATACTTGTCTCATTTTGAAAACACAAAGGAATATAAGTTTCTCTCTACAAACTCCTCCGAATGGGAAACTTTACATTTTTCCCACCTGATTCACTAATCAACTTTCCTTGTCTCTGGTCAACAGACAGGCCTAATTGTTGGATGGGTCCTACTTGTTGTGTTGATAGTGTTAGGTATAGGGGTAGACCACTGAGGACAGCAGGAGGGGCATCCTGATAGGGAGATGTCTGTCCTGTAGGCAAAGATAACCAACCTCCTGATAATTACATGAAGGGCCATTATTCAGACTGAGCGGGGAGGGAGGGCCCCTGCAGGCTTTCTCATCCTGCTTATAGAGCTGTCTTTATCTACTGGGTCTCCATCATCTTCATCATTCCGTCACACACACACACACCAGGGGCCTCACTCAATCAGCCATTACTCTTGTTTATGGTAAATCTGCTTGACATATTAATAGTTGTCACATGTAATAAACTTGTGATGTCTTGCATAAAGATATTCCATCTACTGTATGTTGATATTGTAATAAAGCCTAGAACATACACAGGTAGTTAAGACATTTAACAGGCCACCAAGAGGCCTACAAATACAGCTACATAAATCATTGTTAATTGTGTTGACTTTGCTATCAACTAAGCCGGGGGATCTTAAACTCTTTCAGCTTGAGACCCAAATGAGAAATTTACCGCTCTTCCGTGACCAAAATCATCCTACAACGACCCCAATTGAAAATAAATAGTGTGTGATTATAGATGTATCCTCCTAACTCGCAACCTACCTCTCACATTCCCAGGGCCCACTTTGGGATACAGGGATAGTTTAAGAAACCCTGGACTAAGCTCAGAAGTTATTCTGAACTGTTTTTGCTTGTTTGTTGTTCTTTTTTCTTAGAGGGTGGAACGTGTGAGGTGATTGCGGCTCACAGATGCTGTAATAAGAACAAGATTGAAGAGCGGTCCCAGACAGTCAAATGTTCTTGTCTACCAGGGAAGGTGGCAGGGACTACCAGGAACAGACCCTCCTGTGTTGATGGTGAGTACCACCACTACCATCACAATCCCCATTGGTATTGCAGGCGCAAGAGAAGTGTTGGCACTATCAGTGATTGGACTCACATAGGTGCTGCTAATAGAACCCATATACAACAGTTCTTTAAAATATTTTTCTCCAGGGTTGCATAAAAGTAGTACAATATATCATGTGGAGTGTACATGATGCTTCAGCCTTTCCCAGTAGATCTGGAATAGCAAATATCACAGCAGGTGGCCAGTAGAGATGGAGAGTCCCATGCCCTATCCCTTTCGTCTGATTAGCTGAATGTAGAAGTATAAACCTGAGAGAATGTATCGAAGAACATATACAATTCATCAGTGGCATACATTTCCTAGACCTAGAGAAGCTGCGATGGTTCTTTATTTATTATGTTTTAAATAGTGTCAGGTTTAAGACAAGATGCCCAAAGAGTTGTTGTTATTGATTAATAGATGCACTATAACCTTGGTTCGACCAGACTCCTGGCAACAAACCTCAGCAACCCTGTTTACCATAAGGAACAGGTCCAAGTGAGGTCCTCAAGGATGATGAATATGTATGACTGGAAAACCACTTAGACTAGGACAGAAAATAACACTGTCAGACCAGCTGGCTAAAGTGTTCACGGACATATTCAACCTCTCCCTGTCCCAGTCTGTGATCCCCACATGCTTCAAGATGTCCACCATTGTCTCTGTACCAAAGCAAACTAAAGTAACCTGCCTAAATGACTATCGGCCTGTAGCACTCACTTCTGTCATCATGAAGTGCTTCGAGAGGCTGATCAAGGACCACATCAGCTCCACCTTACCTGACACCTCGGACCCACTCCAATTTGTATACTGCCCCAACAGATCCAAGGATGTAATCACCATTGCTCTACACACTGCCCTAACCATCTGGACAAGAGGAACACCTATGTGAGAATACTGTTAATCGACTACAGCTCAGCGTTCAACACCATAGTCCCCTACAAGCTTGACACTAACCTAAAGGCCCTAGGTATGAACACCTCCCTCTGCAACTGGATCCAAGACTTCCTGACAGGCAGACGCCAGGTGATGAGGGTAGGCAAAAACACCTCCACCACGCTGATCCTCAACACGGGGGCCCCACAAGGGTGCGTGCTCAGCCCACTCCTGTACTCCATGTACACATACGACTGCATGGCCAGGCATGACTCCAACACTATCATAAAGTTTGCAGACAACACAACGGTGATGGGCCTGACCACCGACGGTGACGAGACAGCTTAGAGGGAGGAGGTCAGAGCCCTCGCAGAGTGGTGCCAGGAAAACAACCTCTCCCTCAACGTCAGAAAACCAAGGAGATGGCTAGCACATCACAGATGACCTGACATGGTCCAATCACACCACCACCGTGGTGAAGAAGGCGCAGCAGTGGCTCTTCAACCTCATGCGACTGAAGAAATTCGGTATGGGCCCTCGGATCCTAAAGAAGTTCTACAGCTGCACAATCGAGAGCATCTTGATCGGCTGCATCACCGCCTGGTACGGCAACTGCACCGCCCTCAACCAGAAGGCTCTACAGAGGGTGGTGCAGACGGCCCAATACATCACTGGGGGCAAGCTCCCTGCCCTCCAGGACATCTACATCAGGCGGTGTCGGAGGTAAGGCCCGAAAGATCGTCAAGGACTCCAGTCACCCGAGCCATGGACTGTTCCCTCTGTTACCATCTGGCAAGCGGTATCAGAGCATCAGGTCTCGGACCAACAGGCTCCGAGACAGCTACTACCACCAGGCCATTAGACTGCTGAACAGTTAACCCTAGCTGTCTCCCGGCACAAAACTGCACCTTGGAGACTATATGCACCATAGAGGTTATTTGCACTGACTACCCACACATTCAACCCTCACACACAAACTTACACATACACAAACACACAAACTCCCATAAAACACACACACAATTACCCGCACGCACTCAGAACACACACACAACGCTGCTGTTCTATTATATACTATTGATTCCGCTGTATGACCAAGTCACTACCCACTCTATATTTGTAAATACAGTGTAATACAGTCCATAACATTTGATTGGAAACACTCAAACCAAACATTTACTGAACGTACTGGCCATATACAACAGAACTACCTCATTTTATACTGTGGAATTGCAGTGTTGCTTTATGAATTGTATATATTGGCTTTTTGACTGATGAGGCACAATTTTACCATCTCTAGTAAAGATCCAACAGAAGCCAATAGTAGCCTATATCACTCCCTATATATTCTTCCTGTGCTGTACAGTGAGCATTACCTCTCACCTGCCTGCATGCTTCTTTAGATTCTAACCATTAGATGATGTTGCCACAATTACTGAGCAGAGTAGACAGAGTGAGGGAATTTGAGATCTCTTCTGTCTGTCAGCACTGACAGGGTATTTTCCTCTGTCAGACATCTGAGATGTGCTGGACATTTAACCTGTATTTAAGGCAATTTTCTCTTCCCAGAGCAAGAATATGGCTTGCATTAGAGTCACAGCTACGCCTCCTCTTTCACTTAACACATGTCTAGACGTCTGTCTTTCTATTTGATTTAAAATGCATGTAAGAAATGCAATGAAATAAAATGCTTTAAATAATTCACCTAGGGTTGTTTCAGTGCATATTTTGTTTTGTAAGTATTGGTATAAGGATTCAGATTTTGATTTTGATTGATTCTTACACCATACTCAGGTAGGGATGTTACAGTTGTAAGACAAGGGAGAGTTGACAGTTACTTTGATATTAGTCAGACAGATTCCCACAATTTAGATGTGTGTGTCTGTCATGTGATGAACGAACCAACAGACCCTCTAGTCACCAATCCATCTCCAAGTCATACACTGCTATCACATATAGCTGTTCCACTGGGTAAGACATACTCAGGTCACCTTATGCCTTTGTTGCCTGCAGCATCCATAGTGATTGGGAAGTGGTGGTGCGAGATGGAGCCCTGTCTGGAGGGAGAGGAGTGCAAGACGCTGCCTGACAACTCAGGCTGGATGTGTTACGCTGGGAACAAGATCAAAACCACCCGGGTAAGATAACCTCACATTACCATTTGAAACAGAGACATACTGGAGGAGGGAGAGTTACAGTCATGAGGAATTTGCACCAATAGAACAATACAGACTTTACATTTAAAGACAAAGGCACAAGGTATTGACTCAAGCATATGGGCTATACTAATGTCTCTTTTATTTTTTAGAATACCCAACAGTCTGCAAGCGAAGAATACCTCTAACTTTAGACGGACCAACTGCAGAGGTCAGCTTTGACATGTTCCATGGAGCTGTTACTGTATACCATCTTATCATAAACCATCTAATAAACAAGGTTAACATTATAGCTGCACTGCAATATATCACAATATCTTAGTGCTCTCTTTGTTTGTTTCAGATCAATCCAAGGACCCAACAAAGACATTCAGTTTACCTTACAGTTATAAGAGTGAAAACCTTCCTGGATTGAAATGTGTGAATTCTCAAAGTAACTGCTGCTCAAGGGTACTGGGAATGATGCAGTTCAAGGATACCAATGGGGGACCTTATTGAATTCTCAGTTTTGTTCTTTGAGGAAACACTGCATTTGGATGTACAGCACATCTGTTGTCAGCAAACTCAGACAGACTCTACGAGATGGGCAGACATTTCTGGGTTACTTTGAGCAAGTACTTGCAGTGGGGCCTCAGGATTCTGTATATACCATGTTTCAGTGTTTTCATGTTAACAAGAACATTGTCTACAGTATGATGGTGGTGAGATGTAAATGATTCCAAACCCTGATCTGTTCTGTTCTTGTCCATGTGTTCCAGATTTCAGACCACAACAAAAAGTATAATATTTCTCAGAAAAACAATAACCTATAGGTTTACATCATGTGAGGATGCAACTGTATATTGACTGTTAAAAGGAATAATTTGACCAATCTAACAAGACATATTTTTGTTATCAAAACCGTTTTTGTATTTGAATGCCTTCAGTCATCTCAGTTGCTTCATCATGTCTCTTAGAAATAACAACACTTATAGTTCAGTTATCCTTCAAAAGGTTAATTGCTCACAAAAAATACAGTATGGTTGTTTGTTTTTTACTCCTTTAGATACCTTGTGTGTGTCAACTTCAACAACATATTAAAAGTCTACCATTGCTCTGTGCGTAAATATTGATTTAAAGTATGGTGTGTTATGTAATTAAATATATATTTTGTATTGGCTGCACAGTGCCATTTACCTCTAAGTTGAAGTATCAACAAATCAGCTTATCATACCAAGTGATGAAATCTGGATAATAATTGCCTCTATAGCGCACAGATGTCAGAAAGCACAACGATCACAATCAACTAGCTTACTAACTGGGTTAAGTAGAGGAAATCACATGACCAGAATATCAATGTTTAATTTGTACATGTACAGTGCCTTCGGAAAGTATTCAGACCCCTTGACTTTTCCACATTTTGTTACGTTACAGCCTTATTCTAAAATTGATTAAATGAAACAAATTCCTCAGCAATCTACACACAATATCCCATAATGACAAAGTGAAAACAGTTTTTTTGAAATGTTTGCAAAATTATTCAAAATTAAAAAATGAAGTATTCAGTCCCTTTCCTATGAGACTCGAAATTGAGCTCAGGTGCATCCTGTTTCCATTGATCATCCTTGAGATGTTTCTACAACTTGATTGGAGTCCACCTGTGGTAAATTCAATTGATTGGACATGAGTTGGAAAGGCACACACCTGTCTATATAAGGTCCCACAGTTGACAGTCATGTCAGAGCAAAAACCAAGCCATGAGGTCGAAGGAATTGTCCGTACAGTGCAGAGACGGAATTGTGTCGGGGCACAGATCTGGGGAAGGGTACCAAAACATTTCTGCAGCATTGAAGGTCCCCACAGTGGCCTCCATCATTCTTAAATGGAAGAAGTTTGGAACCACCAAGACTCTTCCTAGAGCTGGCCTCCCGGCCAAATTGAGCAATCGGGGGAGAAGGGCCTTGGTCAGGGAGTTGACCAAGAACACGATGGTCACTCTGACAGAGCTCCAGAGTTCCTCTGTGGAGATGGGGGAACCTTCCAGCAGGACAACCATCTCTGCAGCACTCCACCAAACAGGCCTTTATGGTAGAGTGGCCAGACGGAAGCCACTCCTCAGTAAAAGGCACATGACAGCCCGCTTGGAGTTTGCCAAAAGGCACCTAAAGACTCTCAGACCATGAGAAACAAGATTCTCGTGTCTGATGAAACCAAGATGGAACTCTTTGTCCTGAATGCCAAGCGTCACGTCTGGAGGAAACCTGGCACCATCCCTACGGTGAAGCATGGTGGTGGCAGAATCATGCTGTGGGGATGTTTTTCAGTGGCAGGGACTGGAAGACTAGTCAGGATCGAGGCAAAGATGAACGGAGCAAAGTAAAGAGAGATCCTTGATGAAAACCTGCTCCAGAGCTCTTAGGACCTCAGACTGGGGCGAAGGTTCACCTTCCAACAGGACAACGCAGGAGTGGCCTCGGGACAAGTCTCTGAACGTCCTTGAGTGGCCCAGCCAGAGCCCGGACTTAAACCTGATCGAACATCTCTGGAGAGACCTGAAAATAGCTGTGTAGCAACACTCCCCATCCAACCTGACAGAGCTTCTATGCTCGCTTTGAGGCAAGCAACACTGAAGCATGCATGAGAGCATCAGCTGTTCTGGATGACTATGTGATCATGCTCTCCATAGCCGATGTGAGTAAGACTTTTAAGCAGGTCAACATTCACAAAGCCGCAGGGTGTACTCCAACTGGCAAGTGTCTTCACTGACATTTTCAACATGTCCCTGACTGAGTCTGTAATACCAACATGTTTCAAGCAGACCACCATAGTCCCTGTGCCCAAGAACACTAAGATAACCTGCCTAAATGACTACCGACCCGTAGCACTTATGTCTGTAGCCATGAAGTGCTTTGAAAGGCTGGTCATGGCTCACATCAACACCATTATCCCAGAAACCCTAGACCCACTCCAATTTGCATACCGCCCCAACAGATTCACAGATGATGCAATCTCTATTTTACTCCACACTGCCCTTTCCCAACTGGACAAGAGGAACACCTACGTGATAATGCTATTCATTGACTACAGCTCAGCGTTCAACACCATAGTGCCCTCAAAACTCATTACTAAGCTAAGGACCCTGGGACTAAACACCTCCCTCTGCAACTGGATCCTGGACTTCCTGATGGGCCGCCCCCAGGTGGTAAGGGTAGGTAACAACACATCTGCCACGCTGATCCCCAACACGGGGGCCCCTCAGGGGTGCGTGCTCAGTCCCCTCCTGTACTCTCTGTTCACCCATGACTGCATGGCCAGGCATGACTCCAACACCATCATTAAGTTTGCTGACGACACAACAGTGGTAGGCCTGATCACTGACAATGATGAGACAGCCTATAGGGAGGAGGTCAGAGTCCTGGCCGTGTGGTGCCAGGATAAAAACCTCTCCCTCAACGTGATCAAGACAAAGGAGATGATTGTGGACTACAGGAAAAAAAAGAGGACTGAGCACGCCCCCATACTCATTGATGGGGCTGTAGTGGAACAGGTTGAGAGCTACAAGTTCCTTGGGGTCCACATCACCAACAAACTATCATGGTCCAAACACACCAAGACAGTCGTGAAGAGGGCACGACAAAACCTATTCCCCCTCAGGAGACTGAAAAGATTTGGCATGGGTCCTCAGATCCTCAAAAAGTTATACAGCTGCACCATCGAGAGCATCCTGACTGGTTGCATCACCGCCTGGAATGGCAACTGCTAGGCCGAGGACCGCAAGGCACTACAGAGGGTAGTGCGTACGGCCCAGTACATCACTGGGGCCAAGCTTCCTGCCATCCAGGACCTCTATACCAGGCATGTCAGAGGAAGGCCCTAAAAAATTGTCAAAAACTCCAGCCACCCTAGTCATAGACTGTTCTCTCTGCTATCGCACAGCAAGCAGTACCAGAGCGCCAACTCTAGGTCCAAAAGGCTTCTTAACAGCTTCTACCCCCAAGCCATAAGACTCCTGAACAGCTAATCATGGCTACCTGGACTATTTGCAATGCCCCCCCACCTCACCCCAACCCCCTCTTTTATGCTGCTGCTGCTCTGTTTATTATTTATGCATAGTCACTTTAACTCTACCCACATGTACATATTACCTCAATTACCTCGACTAACCGGTGCCCCCGCACATTGACTCTGTACCGGTACCCCCTGTATATAGCCTCCCTACTGTTATTTTATTTTACTGCTGCTCTTTAATTATTTGCTATTTTAAATGTTTTACTTATCTTTTTTTAATTAACACTTTCTTAAAAACTGCATTGTTGGTTAAGGGCTTGTAAGTAAGCATTTCACTGTAAGGTGAATACACCTGTTGTATTCGGCGCATGTGGCAAATACAATTTGATTTGATTTGATCTGCAGAGAAGAATGGGAGAAACTCCCCAAATACAGGTGTGCCAAGCTTGTAGCATCATACACAAGAAGACTTGAGGCTGTAATCGCTGCCAAAGGTGCTTCAACAAAGTACTGAGTAAAGGATCTGAATACTTATGTAAATGTCATTTTTCAGTTTTTGTTAGTTTTTTTAATTAGCAAAAGTTTCAAAAAAACTGTTTTTGCTTTGTCATTATGGGATATTGTGTGTAGATTGATGAAGCGAAAAAAACAATTTAATCAATTTTAGAATAAGTTTGTAACCTAACAAAATGTGGAAAAAGTCAAGGGGTCTGAATACATTCCGAAGGCACTGTATCTTTTGTATTGGGTACTAGACCAGTTGTTCCACTAAAACAGTACATGACTGCAGCACTCTACCCTAACAGAATTCTAACCTAACAAATTGTTTTTTTTATAGTCTCCTGCTCTCATTGTAAATAAGAAATTAGCTTGTTTAGGACTAAGAAGGACAGTCAATGAAGGACAGTCAAAGACTCTGAAGTCTTCCGCTCAACAAAGGATGCCCAACAGAGCATAAAGCAGATTATACAAAGACTGTGCTATTACAAAGCGCCAGGGAACCAAGCAGTCAGTGGGCATACGTTGATTTAAATACACCAGACACCCTGAAGTGATTTTTCTGAGTGTTGCTCTCTGGCACGTTTTCTGAAATCTCCATCTGTATGGATCAAACACATCGTATAAACACACACTGAAATCACATCACACCAACTGCAGGAAAGGCTAGAGACAGCACAATGCCATATGCAAGTAAAGG